AGAAAGCTTGGAGACACAAAAATCGGCTATACTCTTCTTAGAATACTTGTGTGTACCGATTTTCGGACTAAGGGGCTACATTTATAGTGTAGAATTCCAAGGGCCACTTGTAAACCCTAATTCATGCACTTAGGCTTATGATCCAATAACTCATTTGGACTAACACTTCATGGACTTTCACATAAGCTTAGTCCATCACAAATCAATCTTGGATCATTAGCCCAAACTTAATGTATCACTGATTTACATAATCAGTCCCCATTAATTTAATTAGTCTCTTTTGATCACTAAATTAATTCTTAATCAATACAAATTAAATAATATGATTTCTCAATTAATATATTATACTTATACTATATTAATAAATCATGAATAGCTTCGTTCTCAAATATCTATCATATCAAATTGTTCTGGTGAAGGAAACCCAAAAGGACCATGCTACTATCGGGTCAAGTACATACCTATTATAGTTATGGGCTTAAACACCTAATCAAACAATTGTGTTATGGGTTTTGGTAGGAGTTGGGATTCCTACCTCCCCTAGCTAAGTTTTATTACAACAATAGCTATCACTCCAGTATTGGTGCACCACCGTACGAGTTTCTCTACGGTGAGAAGTGTCGTACACCAGTTTGTTGGGGAGAGGTCGACCACAGGGTCATGGGGAGGACTGAGGTAGTCCTCCAGACAACAAAGCTCATCCAACATATCAAGCAGAGGTTCTATACATCTCAAAGCCGACTTAATAGTTACATAGACGATGATCTGAGTTAGAGTTCCAGGTTAGGGATATAGTTATTCTTAAAGTATCACCCTAGAATGGTGTTATATGCTTCAGGTAGAGGGGAAAGTTGGGACCCCGATTTATCGGACCATTTCGAGTGATGGCCAGAGTAAGTGACCTATCGATTAGATATGCCTGAGGAGCTTAGTCAGATTCACAACGCATTCCATGTTTCCCAGCTCTGGAAGTGTGTGGTTGACGATTCAGCGGTGATCCCTTTGGATGACATTTAGGTTGATGAGTGTCTGAATTATGTGGAGAGACCGGTAGTAATTCTAGACAGGAAGACGAAGGCCTTGTGCAACAAGATGGTACCTTTGGTCAAGGTCTAGTGGAAACATCGAAAGGGTTTCAAGTGGACTTGGGAACCCGAGGCAGAGATACGTGAGCATTACCTAGAGTTATTCGTAGCATCAGACTTCGAGGATGAAGTATGATTCAAGTGAGGGATAATTGTAACACCTGGTCCTTTAGGTAAACTTCTTTCCTTATTTAAAAATGTAATTTTTGGAGATTTTGATCATTACGCGGGGCGTGATAAAGTATCCTACACAGCACTAGGAGGTACATTGGATGCGAGGATTTAATGAGCTACGTCCTGTGTAGTTAAAGCCACACAATGGGTAGCAACCCAGAATCAAAACCCTAATTTGGGGTTATGAGCCCTATTTAAGGACTCTAACACCCTTAAGCACCCTTCCATCAACAGCCTCCATTGCTCAAACATGTCCCTTTCAAACCCTAATTCCCTTAAGTGACTTTTAAGGAAATTGTGTGATATTTTGGTGCTTTTGGTAGAAGGAAGATGCCATTGTTGAAGATTTGGAGTACTCAAGATTGTGGATCTGGGATTTTGTGACTCATCCATCTCCAGAAGGTATAAATTGTGTACCTCTATACTTCCATTGTTATATCTAGCTTAGATGTTGAAGTTATGTCATTTTGTCCCATTATTTTGGTCCATTTGAGTGTGAGCTACTCTAAACCTTGTAGAGTGCGTTTCCAGAGGTACTTTGGGGGAACTCACTAAGATTTGGGTTACAATATGATTTCATGGTTTCAGGTATATCAAAGGATCGGGGCAAGGCAAAGGCGTGATTGTGCACATCATCCTTGGATATTTATTTGACCTATGATTTTGGGATACTCTGATTGATGATTATAACTTTTGGAAACAATGTTTTGTATGATTTATGAGCTATTATATGGTTTATAAAATAAAAAATTTTGTCATGATTTTTTGGATACTACAATTGCTCAACTAATTGAACCAAACTCCATGCTTGAAGGAAAACTCCATAATTAACCTGAATGCTATCAGAATCGTGATCAGATTGATTCCTTTTGAACCCTACTGCCACCACTCGCCGAAATTAGATTCTGCGTAGATCTGAGGCCCTTCCAGAAATTTCGTCAACGTTGCTCTGGCACCCTAACTAGAGGTCCAAAGTATCCATTGGTCCACACTTGATGAAAAATCGATGAACCCATAACACCGTCAACTAATACAACTCGACAATTATAAAACAATCTCAACCACTAAACAAAACCCATGCGATTGTGCATCCACCCCACCCTCATGTAGGTTGATAAAATTAACAATAGCTCTACCCTTACTAATGATAGCGATCGGTTCAACGAGCTAACCACCCCTTCAACAGACATTCAACCTAAACGACATACACTCCTCTTAACTTTATTTTGTTGTCCCAGAAGGAACAACTGGCTATAGCGAGATCTTTGTCTAGATGCTTTTGACACAAGGACCACACACACAACCTCAAAATCATGAATCTGACTAATCCCTTAATCCTCACCACCATAAAAGATCTCAAAAATCTAAAATACCATAAATCCAATGAACATACACTGCAACTTCCTCCAACCTATTGTGATGGAACCATCAGAATCAATCTAGTTGTTGATCCTTCAAGCAGAACATTCAGTCCTCCTCCACTCAGGGCTTACTCCCTCACTGGACGACGTCTTCCATGTCGAAGCCTAAAACTGATTCATCCAAATACCCTATAATAAAACAACTGGTACCAGAGCCTTGTTAAAAATGGCATTACATTATAATAAAACACTTTACAGTGAAGTGTTTGAAGAAATTCAAAATATCGAGGTTGAAATTTCTCATCATAAAGAAATGATTTTCAATAATAAGAAAAATTTAGTGCATATAAATTTCAGAATTCTACAAGCACAAAATAAACATACTCACGAATATATACCAACCATGGTTACTATACGTAAGTATCTCCTTCACAGGCAAAAAACATATCAAGAACACCTTGATAGAGCTTTAAACTCAGTTTCAGAACTCAGAAAGAGGATTTTGACTTGCTAAGCATCTCTTAAAATGAATAAAGAGATTTTCAACAATTCTGAAGAAAATAATTCAGAAGAAAAACAAATCTTAACTTATGTTGAGGATGAAGACGGCTTTCATGCAAATCTCTTAATAAAACAAGACCTTCTCTCTCGAGTTAAGAAAACAGATTTAAAAATAAAGAAAGAAAACATTTTCAAGAATGTTCCTTCTAAACTTAGTATTTTAAACCCTCTCAAGAGGAAAAATGAAATTTTCTACTTTGTTAGTACTAAAGAAATGTCTGTAGACATAAAAGATACAGTAGGAGCTGTTTTCCTACCCCTTTTGACTAAGGAACAAATAAACAAATAACTTGAAAAATATTCCAGTTGAGATTAGATCAAAAATAAGAATGGTCCATATCGGAGCTATAAAAATTTTGATAAAATCCCAATTCCAAGCAAGAATAAATTCTCCCATAAAAATGGCCTTAATTGACAACAGAATCACTGACCGACAGGACTGCATCTTAGGTGCTGCCAAAGGAAACCTTGCTTACCAAAAGTTTATGTTTTCAGTCTATCCAAAGTTTGCTCTGGATTTAAAATCTGCAAATATAGATAAAACCTTATCTTTTATACATCACTTTGAGAGAAGTGACCTTATGAGTCCATGTGATAAACCATTCATAATAACCTATCTCATAGGATATGCCCTGACCAATAGTCACCATAGCATAGACTACAAGAAAGACGAGTATATTGAACTTGACGACGTCTTCTCAGAAATCGGCCATGTCGAAGATAAGCAATTCTGCGACATAAATCCTCAAGAAAACTCTTGGGTTTTAAACATAGCTAGAAACAAAAAAGCTCTAGGAGAAACTCTTAGACCAAGGATTTCTATGGATTCACTTCACATAGGAGAAAGCTCAGAAAGAAAAGATAGTAACTTAATAAGAAACATGTCTTTAAAAATTGATAGCCTACGTCAAAATATCAAACAAATCACTGAGATTGTAAATGAGTAATAAAATAGATTTTCCTCATTTTTATAAAAAAGGTAAAACAGTCAAAATTAAAACTCTTGACGACAATACTGAAAAGAAAGAATACGTTTTCTCTACTTCTGGAAAAGCTGGTATTCAAACAATTGTAAATCATTGCAATAATCTCAACCAGATCATTGCAAGATGTCTTTTAAAGACTTCAAAAATAAGCCATTACCTTGGTGTTTCAAAAGATATTTCTACAAATATTTCAAAAAATAAAATACCTTTTAACCAATTTAAAAGTGATTTAGCTTTCCTTAAAAATAATCTTGACAAAAAAGATTTTGAAAAATTATTCGAAACAATCGAAAAACAAAATAGGTTGACTATTAAATTAACCCAATCTATTGATAAACATTCTATCCTCCTAGAAAACTCTTTAAAAAATAATCAGTTTGTGGAAGAAGTTGCCAGAAGAGCAAATATTGAAGGCACTCTTAAGGCAACCAACCTTAAGATCACTAGTATACAAGACTAGTTAAAACAACTGATAGGATGAGCTTAACCGAGCTCAATAGATCGATCAACCTCCTTGAAGAAAAAATAGCTGGGCTGATCATAAACCTTGACTTAACAGTCAATAAATACGTAACCACTAACCAGTTAGAAGTTGCATCTGCAAAAATTATTGCAGACATTACTAAAGAGTTGTCTGAAAAGATTGATTCTTGCCCTTGTAATAAAGACATTCTTGAACACATCAAGAATATTTCCATTATAGAGCAAAAAACCAAACCGGGAAAATACTCAGGACTTAAGAAATACTCACCTCCCAATCCTAGTATTGGAAACCCAGACTTAGGTAGCTCAAAAGACTCCCAGAAGATTGATATCTTTAGGAAGGAGAAACAATGAAAGAAAAAGTCTCCGAACAGCTCGAGAAATATTTCTTTAATCTTCAGTATGAAGACTATGATAAACCTGACCAAAAACTCATTCAGCTTCTATCCTTGGAAACTGAAGAATGCGAAGAACTATATCAAAAAGAGCCACAACTTTTTGATCAATACTTTAAAGTAGCTAAAGCAAATGAACCTGATACCGAATCAGAACAGGAAGACAATCCTAACATAAACGCTGTCAAGTTCGAATACTCAGATAGCAACGAAGAAATGGAAGCAGAATCTTCATATATGGCCGCAAACAGAGGCGAGAGAAAGAAGAAAAAGAACTATGAGTTCAAAATGTCTGTCCATAATGGTATTCCAAATAGTGGTAAAGGACCCAATACGATCAATGTCCTCAATATTGATTGTATCCAGGACTTAAAACTCAGAGAAAGAGTTATAGAAAAATGGGTTACTGAGATTTCACTAATCTTACAAACAAACCCAGATGAATTTGGAAATGCAAAAAATGTTCTCCTACTTTTAGAACACAAGACTGATGGAATTGTGCAAAAATTCCTTAGAAATAATAATTGGAATGAAGAATTACATGGATTAGACCTTTTTGATAATCTTATAAATGTCATTTACACTACGTTCTTAGGACTAGATTATGTCTCCAATAAAGACTTCACTATAAATAAGAAAGTCGACATAGCAAGAGTCTCAATGACAAAACTCCAGTTACATGATATTTGTCTCCTTGACAAATACACATGTAGATATGAATCATATCTTTATGATATTCCACAGAGATGTGAATATTCACAATGGATATCTGCTTATCTTATGAAAATACCAATCATTGGAGAAATCTGTACTGAAAGATGGAAAAAAGAAGCCATTGGAGAAATTCAGCAAACCAGTCTTTCTTATGCAACAAAAATTGCAAAAGAAGAAATTGACAGAATATGTCAAGACAGGTATAAATAACAAAAGCTTAAAACTATAAGCAAGGATTGTTGTAACATTCTGTCTGATTTCAAAGATTTTGATATCGGAAGAAAAACTTATACTAAGAAAAAGTATAAAGATAAAAACAAAAAGAAATACAAATCTTTTTGGAAGAAGAAAAAGAGAAGATTTTCTCCAGGAAAATACTTCAAAAAATCTTCGAAAGAAACACCTAAAAAGAATACTTCCTGCCCACAAGGAAAGAAAAAATGCAGGTGTTGGATTTGCAACGAAGAAAGACACTACGCTAATGAATGTCCAAATAGGAAAAAGTACCCTGACAAGGTCAAAGTATTACAAGCCGCTAATAACGGAGGCTATGAAGCTCTTGAATAAGAATACGACGGTATACAACGTGTTTTCATTCTACATGTTGATACTAATTCCTCGTCATCCTCAGAAAAAGATGAAACAACTACTGATGACTCAGAATAGCCTTAAACAGACTCCGACTTTTAAGACGGGTGAGGTTAACCAATTTTGTGCAAACCTCCAGAAAAATAATGATTCTCTCATGAATCTCACTAATCCAAACTCTATTTATGTTTCTGCTTTCCTTAACTTCAAAGGATATAAGAAATTTTTGGGTACACTGTTTTGTAGACACAGGTGCATCCTTATGTCTTGCAAGCAAGTTCATCATTCCAGACGAACTATGGGAAAATGCTCCCAAAGAAATTGTCGCTACTATTGCAAATGGTGACACTATAAAAATTAATAAAGTTTGCAGAAACATTAATCTCGAGCTTTCAGGAGAACATTTCAACGTTCCCACTATTTATCAACAAGACTCAGGAATTGATGTTGTATTTGGCAACAACTTCTGCCAAGTCTATGGACCATTTATACAATGGATAGATAGAATTGCCTTTCATCTTAACAACGATATGGTAATTGTAAAAAAGGTTACTGAAGCCTTTAGTAAAGGAAAACCAAGTTTTCTTGAAACCTAGAAAAAAGGTTCTAAAGAAAAACAAATTTCGGGTACCAATATAACCCAAGAAGGAATTATTGGAGAAAGGATTATTTCTGCCCAAACCACCTTTTTCAAACAGATAGAAGATCTTCTTGAAAAAGTTTGTTCTGAAAATCCTATTGATCCAGAAAAAACCAAAGGATGGATGAAGGCTTCAATCAAGCTCATTAATCCTAAAACAATTATCAGAGAAAAACCTATGGTTTACTCTCCACAAGATAGAGAAGAATTCTCCAAACAAATCAAAGAACTACTTGATATAAGATTAATCAAAGAATCAAAATCTCCTCATATGTCCCCTGCTTTTCTTGTTAACAAAGATGCTGAGAAAAGAAGAGGAAAGAAACGCATGGTTGTCAACTACAAAGCAATCAATGATGCAACCATTGGAGATTCCCATAATCTCCCTAATATGCATGAGCTCTTAACCCTATTACGGGGAAAAATATTTATTCAAGTTTCGACTGCAAATCTGGTTTCTGGCAGGTCCTACTTGATGAAGAATCGCAGCTACTCACTGCTTTTACATGTCCTGATGGACTCTTTCAATGGAAGGTACTACCCTTTGGGTTTAAACAAGCTCCTAGTATTTTTCAAAGACACATGCAGAACGCCCTACGAGGTCTTGAAAGTTTCTGTACGGTATACGTTGATGATATCATGGTCTTCAGCAAAAATGAACAAGAACACTATGTTCATGTTACCCAGGTTCTCAGAACCATTTTAAAATACGGAATAATACTTTCAAAAAAGAAAGCTCATCTTTTCAAAACAAAAATTAATTTTTTGGGTTTAGAAATAAATGAAGGCACTCATTGTCCCCAAAAACATATTCTTGAACATTTACATGATTTTCCAAATGTTTTAGAAGATAAAAAACAACTGCAAAGATTTCTTGGTGTTTTAACTTATGCTGAAACATATATTGAAAAACTTGCAGCCATGAGAAAGCCCTTACAGGCAAAATTAAAAAAAGATGTCATTTGGAATTGGTCAAATACCGATACAGATTACATCAAAAAGATAAAGGAAATTTTAATCAATTTTCCAAAGCTTTATCTTCCGAATATTGAAGATAGTTTAATTATTGAAACTGATGCTTCTGATGAATTTTGGGGAGGAGTTTTAAAAGCCAAAAATTCCAAAAATGAAGAACAAATTTGCAGATACACCTCTGGCAGTTTCAAAACAGCCGAGAAAAACTATCATAGCAATGAAAAAGAATTACTCGCTGTAAAAAGAGTTATTACAAAATTCTCTGTATATTTAACACCGGTAAAATTCCTGGTCCGTACAGATAATAAAAATTTTACTTATTTTCTCCGAACTAAGATTGCAGGAGACAACAAATTAGGCCGACTAATACGTTGGCAAGAGTGGTTCTCTCGATATACTTTTACTGTAGAATATCTTGCAGGAGATAAAAATGTGCTGGCAGACTGTCTCACCCGTGACTTCAGGTATGTCTTACATCATCCATGATCTCACTTGCTCCTCTCGAGCCCTATAAAAGGATATGATCCCCACGACATATTCTTTACAAACTTCACTCACAAAAAGAGAGGGGAAGGATAAAGAGTAAATTTACAAAATGGAAGACCTCAAATCCCTGAGGATGAAGAAACAAATGCTCCTCATAGAGCTATCAGCAATCGAACGAAAAATCAACTTGTATGAACAAGTAACAACGGTCACCGATGTACCGGAAAGCGAAAGCTTAAAAACAAAGGCTATTCCAGTGCAAACGGCATCTGGTAAAGAAACAACAAATCCGTTGAAAGCTGATGCTTTGCTTAAAAGCATAATAAAGGAGACAGCTACTCCTCTTCCAGAAGGAAAAACTAGCTTGTTGGTTAATTCCAACCCTTGTACTAAAGGAATCAGTAAAATGACAATTTTGTCACCCACTAACGAATCTGTGCAGGAGCTTAAACCAGATTACAAAAAGGCTCTTAACAAAGAAGCTGAAAGATTCTATGTAATCTACAAAGGGCCACACGCCGGAATACATACAGACTGGGGAATTACAGAGACCTTCTGCAAGGTCGATAAAGTAACATGCAAAAAGTTCAGAAATGAAACAAGTGCACGACTTAGTTTTGCCACCTTCAATGACGAAGCCAATCAAACCAAAAAACCTCTTCTAAAGCCGAAAGTCCGGAAGATCAAAAAAGAACACAGAGACCAAAGATTTGACATCCCAAAATGACGTCGAATATGAAGCCAACAACCCTGCAAACTCCTTTGAAGATTTCAGAATAATCTGGAGTAAAGCTAGAGCGGCATGCCCAGAAGATCTTATCCATGAGAGATTTTTCACAACAGATAAGAAAACCAAAAGTCTTTACAACTTCCTTGAAGGAGAAGATCCAAGATTAATCCAACAAGCCTTTTCAGCAGGATTAATAGACAACATCTATCCAAGTTGCAATTTGCAAGAACTAAAGTTCTTCCCATCCAGCATGATAGAAACCATTAAGAACTTCCGAAAGAAAGTTCTCAAAGCAAGAGATGATCCAATTTATATCAGAGTCATCTCCTCTCTTCCAGATTTGATTCAAGGAGCAACACTTGCCCCTTATCACTATCTAGCAATTGGCTTAGCAAAAGCCAAAAAAGACATCGAACAATCTCGACCCACGAAAGACAAAGATCTCCCGTTCGAAGAAATCCTTCATCCCAAATCGTATCAACGGCCTTAGAAGAATTTATGAAAAGATCATTGAGATAATCTCAGGATCAAAGAAAAAAGTTAATTATACAAATTCACACTGTATAATCACCAGCTGGAGCTATGGCAACACCAGCAACGAAGACCTTGAACGAGCATCCAAATTCGGAGAACAGTTCACGAACAACAACTTTGATGCATCTACCACTACAAGACAAATTTTCTGTAAGTATGCGAAGCAGTTGTTTGAAGACCATCATTGCAACTACTGCAATTGCAGTGATTCCACGACAAAGGAGGGTCCCTTCTCTGAAGATGACAAATCTTCATCATCTTAAAGAAAGATGCCGCACGCGTTAAATGGCCCCCGCCACTCAAGAAAATAATGCCTCCTACATTATTAGAAGCTTTCCAGCTGTCCATAATAATGTAATCGTTAGTGGATAGAAACGTCATGCCTGACATAATAGGCAATTATCAGACCCTCTCAATGTATCTATAAATTGATAGTTATGTTTTCATTAGAGGATATCGCAAGAACGAGGGCAAGAAAAACACTCCCTATTCTGTAAATTTTTAATGTCTTGTGAGTAAAATCTCCCTTAGAAGGGAGAAGATGTAAAATATTGTAAGAGTACTCCCATTTCGGGAGCTCTTTTATTAATAAATCCATGTTTTGTTATACTTGAGTGTTCATACAAAATAGATTCATGAAACCTGTAAGTCACAGAGTGTCAGATCGACGATGGTCAACAGTACCGCAGGCATGAGGCCAACTGGGAAACCAACCACACAGACCAACGGATGACACAGGCTGGCTTGAATAATTTCTATCTATGTAAGTAATACTCCTACTCCAAAACACTTATTGATTAATGAGTTTTCACTTTACAATTTTTATATCTATTCCCTTCTTAAAATCCCACATACAAAAAATCCCACATTACAAATCCGTTTGGATTTGTAATGTGGGATTTTTTTGTATGTGGGATTTTAAGAAGGGAATAGATATAAAAATTGTAAAGTGAAAACTCACTAATCAATAAGTGTTTTGGAGTAGGAGTATTACTTACATAGATAGAAATTATTCAAGCCAGCCTGTGTCATCCGTTGGTTTGTGTGGTTGGTTTGGTACTGTTGACCATCGTCGACCTGACACTCTGTCACTTACAGGTTTCATGAATCTATTTTGTATGAACACTAAAGTATAACAAAACATGGATTTATTGATAAAAGAGCTCCCGAAATGGGAGTACTCTTACAATATTTTACATCTTCTCCCTTCTAAGGGAGATTTTACTCACAAGACATTAAAAATTTACAGAATAGGGAGTGTTTTTCTTGCCCTCGTTCTTGCGATATCCTCTAATGAAAACATAACTCTCAATTTATAGATACATTGAGAGGGTCTGATAATTGCCTATTATGTCAGGCATGACGTTTCTATCAACTAACGATTACATTATTGTGGACAGCTGGAAAGCTTCTAATAATGTAGGAGGCATTATTTTCTTGAGTGGCGGGGGCCATTTGACGCGTGAAGCATCTTTCTTTAAGATGATGAAGATTTGTCATCTTCAGAGAAGGGACCCTCCTTTGTCGTGGAATCACTGCGATTGCAGTAGTTGCAATGATGATGATCTTCAAAAAACTGCTCCGCATGCTTACAGAAAATTTGTCTTGTAGTGG